CTGAGCCCCCAGCCCACCCCATTTCCAATCTCACAGTGGATGCCAGGGCGAAAACTCAGTCCGGACTCCAGGGTTTCCTGTGTCTTGTGCCACAGCTCTGGGTGGAGTGCTGTGGTACATGACTCCCGGTGTGGAGCCATAAGTCCTCCATCCTGGGAGACGAGTCGGGGGCAACTGATAGTTCTCTGACCTTGGAGGCGGCAGGTGGCTGCCAGAAACACAGCTGTGATATACCTGGGAGGAAGTGGCTCACGATGCCCTAAGGCTTGGCAGGAGTTCAGCTATGGCATGTGAGGAGCAAGAAACCACCCACTGGGCTGGAATTACAGGGCTGGGCAAAGGCTCATGCCCACAGCCCTCACGCCCCATAGGCTAGACATGCGCTCCACATGCCCACACCCTTAGCTCCAGGACACACTCCTTTTGAGCGGACATTCTGTGCACTTCCCCACCCAATCTCTCCCTCTTCCCTTCTGCACAGTGTCCCACTCCCAGGCACCCTTCTGTCCCTATCCACCGTGGTCACAATGCACAACACGCAGTCGCCCTTAGCAAATATTTGTTCAACGGAATGACGGCCCAAAAGCCTTGTTAACACGTGACAAAAAAGGGGTGGGGGCTGGAGTGATAATTCAGTGGTTAATGCACTTGGGAGGACCAGAGCTCGGACACCCAGAAACCAAATGCTGGGTGGGTCTGGTGGCCTGCCTGTGACCCCAGCCCCTGGAGGCAGAGACAGGATCCCCACAGTAAGACAGCCACATCAGCCAGCTGAGGGTTTGCCTGAGACACTCTGCCTCAATGAATAAGGTACAAGAGCGACAGAGGACGGTCCCTAACATCAACCTCAAACCTCCACCTGCATGTGCCCACCTCCAAGTGTACCTACACATGTACAAAAACATACACACATGCATAGCACACACATCTGAAAACTGGGGGGCGGGGGGCGGGGTAGGGAGGAATGCTCTCAACAGCCAGCGCTGCCTAGGGAAACCGCAAAGTCAATGGACTCCACAGCCAACAACTCGTTACTGGCCCATAATGTAGGGCGGGCTCTGGCTCCCCGGTTACAGCTGAGATTCAGTGGCGGGCGGAAGAGAGCAGGCGAAACTGTGCAAAGACTCTCTCCAAGAAGCTCTGACTCTCAGACCTGCCCCCTTCCTTGGTCTCAAAGCACTTGGGAAAGTCTCCTTCCCTAAAACGATCAGTGGGTTAATGAGGAAGTGACTCGGCCCAGGTCCCACCGTCTCCCTACAGGGAAAGCTGGCTACTCACAGGCCACAGTCCCGTTGACAATGCTGAACTGGTAGCCATTCAAGATTGGCTGGCAGCCATCCTCCTTCAGACTGTGGTAACAGCAGTCATGAGCCCAGCAGCACCTGGGGGTGGGGAGAGGAAGGTGAGGAGGGACCTGTGTGTGGCTGTCCCCAGGGGGTCAGTGAGAGGGCCCTGGCTGCGAGCTGGAAGGGACTTCCAGCTTCCCTGGCTTCCCTGGGCCCGAAGGCACTGGAGCTGGGGAGGTGAGGTACTGATACACTTGTCCTTTCCTGGACGTTTCCATGTCTACATGGGCTCTTGGCCCTCTGTGGCCCTGGGCTAATGGTGTGCGGTTTGGGATCTAACTTTGGACTCCATCAGGTGAAACACAGGTGGGTGGAGACAGGAGGTGGATTCAGAAATGAGGGGATCTGTGTTCAAGGCCAGGCTCTGCCGCTTTGCCTGGGGGTGATGGTGGCTGAGCAACTCTTATCTATCTATCTATCTATCTATCTATCTATCTATCTATCTATCTATCTATCTATCTATCTATCTATCTATCTAGTTTTTCGAGACGGGGTTTCTCTGTGTAGCCTTGGCTGTCCCGGAACCTCCTTTGTAGACCAGGCTGTCCTGGAACTCACAGTGATCCATCTGCCTCTGTCTTCTGAGTGCTAAGATTGAAGGTGTGAGCCACCAATGCCCCGCTAAGGCTGAGCAACTCTTAGTCTGGGATCCTCTCTGTGAATCCACCTCAGCTCTAAGGTGGGTTACAGTGGGGATACTCCTCCGATATTTACTGTGAGGGTTGAGGCTCATGTGTCGATCACCTGTTCGGTGTTGGGCACATACTGTGCACCTCACAGGGGCCAGTGGCCTTCCATGTCTCCACAGCTAAGCCTGGGGCTCAAGTTCCATATATTAGACCCTGCTGTAAGGACATGCCCAGGGATATTTCCCTTCTTATTTCTTCAAATGGGAACAGACACACACTATCCAGTCTCCCCACTGTGCCCCCTCCAGATTACAGTAACGTCCCTTTTTTATAGAAGCCCACACCACCCACCCCCAAATCCTTAGAGCTGTCCTGGAAGCCAACTTTGTACCGTGTGACGCCTCCAGATGGACAACTTTTCCGAACTGGGCCACTTGGCTTCTCTTCTAAAATATGGAATTAGGTCTGGGAGCTGGCAGGGCAGTCTTACTGGGCCCGTAATCCAAAAAAAAAAAAAAAATAAAAATAAAAAAAAATAGGGGAGCATGGGAACAAAGAGTACCTTTGCCAGGTGAATGGGAAAGGCTTCCGGATCTCGGGTTGTACTGTGTAAGGTTAGGGCCCTTGATTGAGAATATCAGGATGGGCCTGGGGTGTATCTTGGTGGTATGGCTGTCCAGCAGGGATGGGATTCTGGGTTTCAGTAGCACATGGTGACACATGCCTAGAATCTGAACACTTGGGAGGCGAAGGCAGGAGGATCCAGAGTTCAAATCCAACCTGGACTATGGAGTAAGTTCGAGGCTAGCATGAGCTAGGAGCTAAGACCCTGTCTCAAGGTGGTCAGCACACAAGCCATACCCAGGACCTTAGGCATGAGGGGCCCAACAGGGAAAGGTGACTCAGTTCTGGCTTCCTCAAGACTCACCCTGCAACCCCTTTTCAGTCTCATGCTGCCTTGGGATCGTTTCTTCAGGATTCCTAACCCCACCCCCTCCCGGCCAGAAGCCTGGACTTTAACACAAATGCAGTAAGGGGCTAGCCCAGAACCTGCGCATCACCTGTCTGTGGCATCCACAGGGACTCCTCTGCCCCCAAGCCCACAGTAGCAGCCGTATCCGTAATAGGAGAAGAAGGCGCTGCGCCCTGTGATGTGTTTGACCATCCTCTGGAATTGCCAGAAGCTGCTGAGGGTGGAGGTTGTCCCTGCCAAGGAGAAAACAACAAAGGTGAGCAGCCTGAGGCCCCACGGGCCTCGCTGGAGTGCTTGCAGTGAGGTGGGCAGCGCAGAGCCCTTGTACAAGGCGTCTGCCTCCCTCACAGGGTAGAAAAACAGGATCAGTGTTACCCCATCACCCAGAAAGTGTCTCGATAACCAGGAGGCGGCCCAGGCTCCCCAGCTGTCGGGGTGCTCCACCACCGTCCATGTCTGATCAACATTAACTGGGAAAGCTCAAAGTCAGCCCTTCCTCTAGGCAGCACCAGGAATTTATCGTCTCCCAGGAGAAGCAAAGCCCAGGGCTAGGAAATCAGAAAAACACCTTTGATCCAGTCTGTAAAATGGCACAAACACACAGACCCATAAATTCTTGTTATTTTTAATAGGCAGAGTCTTCTCTTACTACATAACCCTGGCTGGCCTGGAGTCCCTGTAGAGACCAGGCTGGCCTTGAACCTGGGGAGATCCTCTCCTCTCTGCCTTCGAGGTGCTGGAATTACAGGAGTTCAACAGTAGACCTTTTTACTTCTATAAAATGCTTACAGACACACACAGAAATGCATACAGAAGGGTGATGGCTGACAGTGTGGTCTGCAACAGCAGAGCACTGGAAAGTACCGCGTGTACCTCACGAGGACGGTCATCAAAGCATATATCCTAGGAATGTACCACTTTTAATAGCTCAACTCCGGACAGTGAGATGGAGGCAGATGGAGAAAGAATCAGGCCACATTCACTTAGCACACTTCCATGTACCTTTTTTACAAGCACATTGGGGTGGTTTGATTAAGAATGGCCCCATAGGCTCATATGCTTGAATGCATGGTCACCAGGGAGTGGAGCTGTTAGAGAAGGATTAGGTGGCCTTGCTGGATGAAGTGTGAAACCGAGGATGAGCTCTGAGGTTTCAAAAGCCCACACCAGGCCTGGCCCCTCTTTCTCTGCCTGCAGATCAGGATGTAGCTCTCCACCATTTCTCCAGCACTGTGTCTGCCTGCCTGCATGCCGCCATGCTCCCTGCCATGATGATGATGGACTAAGCCTCTGAAGTTGTAAACAAGCCCCTAGTTAAATGCTTCCCTTTACAAGAGTTGCCTTGGTATGGTGTCTCTTCACAGCAACAGAACAGTGATTAAGACACAGGTATTATTTTGTTACAGTATTTTGAGTGCATGCATGTGTGTGTGTGTGGAGCGCCCCGGAGGGTGGGCTTAGTGTAATGTCCTCTAGAGTCTCCAGAGCAGTTGCATCTAGGTGCAGAAAAGTACTAGTCCCCAAGAAGGCTGTACCTTTGTTACTATATATTTTATGGTTTTGTTTTATGACCAAATGAAAACTTATATGGCCCAATCTGGCCTTAAACTCATATGCAGTCAAGGATGACCTTGAACTTCCAACTCTCCTGCCTCCACCTCTGATTACAGGCTTGTGCCATCCTGCCTGGTTTTATACAGCGTTGGGGATTGAATCCAGGTTTTTGTGTATGGTAGGCAAGTGCTCTAGCCACTGAGCTACGTGCCTAGGCCTGCATTTGATTTTTAAATTACAAGCATATACGTGGTCTGTGCTAAAAACCCAGCAAAAGCACGAACCCAAAGAAGGAAAACAGTCAGTGACGGAGGGTTTTCTCAGGCTCCCTCCCACCTCAGTGCTGAGTTAGATGCCTTGACCTGATTTCTCAATCCTCCTGCCTCCACTTCCCAAGCACTGAGATTACACATTTGGCATGATTTTGAAAACTGCAAAGCTCATTAGCAACTTGGAGAAAGAGGGAGACCTAATTTTGATATGACTGACTTACAGAACCCCAGAGTCACTGCGGCGTGGCTGAAAACAGCAGGAAACTGGTTTTGGACAAACAGCTAACACAGACTATCAGCAAAAGACTGGGGTTTTTGTTGTTGTTTTGTTTTGTTTTGTTTTTTGTTTGTTTTTTTAACAGACCTCTGACGGGCCCCAGGAAACCCTTCAGATTGCATACTTCACTTTGCAGAGGTACACAATCCGAAGCCCCAGCAGCAGTGACTCAGTTTGACTAAGTAGTCACTAGACATTATCAGGATGCCTTCACCAGAAGAATTACTCCAGCTGGCTGGAATCATGCCCACCGTTTTGTACGGCAGTACACATAGCTTTAAATAAAGGTAACCAGAATGGGAAGGAAGAGAGCCTCCCAGACCAGGAGTGCTGACCCCACAGCCAAACATCCTTTTTCCAGTATGTGGTCAATGTCCTTGGATTCCAAAATATTCTGTGAGGCCAACACCGTGACCAGCCCATCAGACAGCAGAACCAGAGGTAGGAGAACTTTGGGGGGAGCCTGGGTCTCTCCTGAGGGCCTTGTACCCTACCTTCCCTCAATGCCACCTAGGTCACAGTCAGAAAGATGGCCTCCCGGCACTCACTCAGATGGCTTATACTTACAGCAGAAGATAAAGACAATGAATACAGCAATGACCTTCATTCCCAAAGAGACCAGGAGGTCCAGGGTGCCAGGGTTCCACCTTCATCTGCCAGTTCAGCTCCTTTTGGGGGAGGAAGTAAAGGAAAAGTACAAACCACCAATACAGCCAAGGCCTTTGGATACCCTCAGCACAGGGCTCCCAGGGATCTTTGCCAGACCTAGTGACGTCTGACTATGACACCCGTCCTGGCACTTTGACCCAGATGTAAAATGTAAGAACGGCTCAACTGTTTGGAAAAGGTGAACACTGATGGTGTCTTTCTTTCTTTGGCAACACTATCACTCTGGTTGTTTTTTATTTTTGGAGGAGTCAGCAGCCCACAGGGCAGTGGGGGAGAATGTGTGTGGGTGCCTGTCCCTTCATGGAGTGGCTCCACGATCAGCTTCCTTTCAGTTCAAGTATTCTCCACCAGCCCCAAGAGACATCAGGCTACATCAGACTGTGATGAGTCTTGGAGAGGAAACAATAGCTCAGCAGAGCTTTGAGAGAATTTGGCAGGTCCAAAGCCTCAGGTAAGTTTTATGCAGTGGTGAACTTTCCCAGGAAGACTTCAAAATGTCAGTCCTACCACAAGAGCACTGTGAGAGCCCACCTGGTGTCCTAGCTACTTGGCCTTCTTTGGTACAACTGGTGGCTGCTGAGAGGCTGGACCCTGACCAGGCTGGTCCTGGCCAATCATCATTTCAACAGCTGTACAAGTTTTTCTAATTAGGTTCTGTCTCCATGGGAACCTGACAAAACCAGGCCCAGGTTGGAGCTACAAAGAGAGGACTCACATCTTTTGAAGCAGCAGGTGATGAGACTTCAGATACAAAGGGGCCTGAGGTGTGTGTCTGGAATGAAATCCAGTTGAAGTACCAACTGTGTACTTAGCTAATGAGAAGATCCAAGGGAGGTCCAAAGGAGGCTGCCAGCTGACTACAGGTAAAGAGAGACTAGACATAGACCAAGAGCCCATATGGGCCTTGACTTCATCAACTGGATGGCAGCCCAGCACCGCTGCTGACTTTGGCACAAGAGGCAGCAACAGTGGAGGACCGTGAACTCTGGGTCCATGCCAAAGAGAGTTGGAGCTGTCCCAGTATTTCCTGTCAGCAAATCCAAGCCCCAGGACCCTGAGCTTCCCGTCTGTGGAGTCAATGACCTTTGTCTTCTGCGGCGCCAGCAAGATCTAGACGCTCTTGGTGTGAAACCATTTGGTCAACATGGGGCCAAGGTGAGTGGCAGTTCCATATATTCCAACAAGACAAGCAGTGTCAATACACACTTGGACATGTTCCACTGAGATGCAGGAAGCAATCAAACAGTGCAGTACATCAGTAGCTCCATTTTACTATCCAGAAACTTCTCTGGTGACGGTCTCTCAGGAGGCTGATTTCTAAGGAGCTGTGCAGCCTGTTTGCCTTGTTACCAGATTATAATTGGGCATGTTATCACAGACCAGAAGGAACGAAAATACTGCATTGAGGGGTGGGCATGGTCAGGAAAGGACTTCATAGAACAGGCGACTTTTAAGACGGGCCTTGAAGTATCAAGCAGTTTGGATTCACTTTGAAGAGGGAGAAGGTAGGGCGGATGCGAACCAGGACACAAGAGATGAGAATGCCAAGGGCCCATTTGGGGGACAAGCTGGCTAGAGTCCAGGAGAGAGCTGGGGAGTGGAGGCATGGTACAAAGGAAGACGGGCCCTCGCTTTAGCAGATGGGAGAATGGCCTCCAGCCATTTTCCTGAGAATCTAGTGGATGCGTGTGCATGTTCAGCCCAGGCATCAGAGGGATGTTCTTTGAAGATGCTCTCTGGTGCGGGTCAGGAGATAAAGAGAGGGACTAGCTGGCTGTCTCTTTCCCACAGGGCTGCATCACACCATGCCAGAGAACAAAGACTCATGTGCTGCTGGACACGAAAATGGACCCCAGGCGTAGCCAGCATCTCACCATGCTCCAGCAAGAGCACACGCACCTCGCTCGCACACAGTGGGGGAGCCACGGACGGAAACCGATGCCACTCCCAAAGGGTTGCATAATTCTTAGGTGATATTAAAATAGCTGGCGAAGGATCTACTTTAATCTCTTCTGAGTGGGCGCCGAAGGGCTGAAGAGCATCGCCTGGAGACTTCTGACAGGATCATTAACGAGATGTAAGCCAGCGACACCGCCATGCGAAACCACCGGCTTCTAAAACTGCCAGCGGCACCTCTCTGGGGCCATGATGCCTCCTGGATATCCAGAGACAGAATTCCCGGAAAGGAGGCCAGCCTGGCCCAGGCCCTCATCCTAGGCTAAGTGCTCTACCAAGGTCAGCAGCGTCCTCTCTGCGATGGGCTAACAGCCCATCGCTGAAATGAACCCCTGCCTGCCAGCTCCTAAAAAAAAATGTGCCATTGGTACCAATCTCATCATATGTAATCCCATCCAGCCCATGTCTGCTCTCCTACCCTTGGCTCAAACTATACTGAGAGTAGTAGTAGTATAACTATCAGCGAACAATGTGTCTTTCTGACCCAACTGTGAATGTGCTGACAAGGGTTTGGAGTTGTACTCCTATCAAAATCCCATCCCTATACATGCAGGACAAAGCAGGTAACAAATATGTGGCCATAATGTTAAGTCATGAATCTGTGGTTCTTGACTGTCTACTAGTAACTTCTAGCAGTTTGGGCCCTAAATTACTCTGAGGGTCTGGAGCGCAGTCCGCTTGGGACTCCCTTTGAAATCAGCTTGGAAGGAAGACTTCATTAGATTGGAACAAAGACAGGGAGGAATTGGGCAAATGAAGGGACAGGACAGGCTGGGGAAGAATCTTCAAGCCAAGGGTTCAACAGAAGCAAGGGTGTTGAGCCTAGGGAGGTCTCGTGTACGCGTGGCCATGGTCGGGAACCAGCGGAGCACCACAGAGGCAGTCAAGAGGGGACAGGGTCAGAAGTCAGCCCCTTTCCACTCCAACAGGCCAGAGGCAAGAGAGCAAGGATGCCGAGGCAGGGGGCTTGCAGCTCTGACAGCAGGCAGCTAAGAAGGCCTCCATTCGATGATTTCTGTTTTTCTCGACAGAGGGCGGGAGAGTATCATCCCAGAGGGAGGAGGGAAGGCGGAAAGCAGGGAGTGTTTGGAGGAAAGACAAGATTTGGAATAGCCATTGGAGAGGGCAGAAGACCGAGGAGAGCAGACAGAAGGCTGGCTAGGGAGGGCTGGGCGTCTGACTGATGTTGGAGACCACACCAGTGCCCTGGCATCCATCTGGGTGACTTGCCATGATACCTTTAGTGCTTGGTGTGGGTGGACAGATTCCCGCTAAGGCTCCATCACATGGATGGGGTGGAAGGACAGTGGGGTAAGGGGAACTCTTACCAACAGAATGGCTGAGGTAGTGGACCATAGCTTCTGAGCAGGGTGGAGGGGAAGAAGCCAGGCTGCGGGACTCCGAATCTCAAGGCTGTTGGAAAACAAGGTAAAGTGGCTGGAGTTGCTGACTGTGTAGTTAGACCCTTAAAGGAGATGGGGGGGGGCGTGATCACAAAACTCAGAGTGTCCCCAGAGTGGGAGTGGGTAGTCTCTTACTCCCCCATGATGATATACCCTAAGAAAAGAAAAGGAAAAGGAAAAAGGCCACACTCGGACTCTAAGGGGCTCAGGAATGAGTCCCACACTCCTGTTTTAAAATAGGACACCGACAGGTTCAGGCCAGCGATAGACCGGGATTTGATGCTGGTCTCCACCCCACCCCCACCCCAGGGCAAGGTTCCCTTTCCCATGAACGCACTCTCCCCAGAGAGTCAGGCCAGGTCAGGAAGAGGAGAGAAGGTGTCAGAGGCCCAGGCCCAGGGCCCTGTGGCCTCCATGGGGCAGGGCCACACCAAGGACCTGCGTCTGGAATCCTTGAACCAGGGACTGCAGGCCCTCGGGCTCTCCGTGCCCTGGCTTGTCCAACTTAGTTTACGCAGGCCGGCCCAGGCCAGGCAGGTTCCGGATCCCACCGGAAGCACGTGGCGCCCCACCCCTCGGCGGTTGCCACGGAGACGGGGCTGTTTACCAGCTGGTCGCAGCCAGGCACAGGAGGCGGATGGAGCTGAGCTGCGAGGTGAGAGACCCACGGTGGGTCCCCAGAAACTGAGAGCCAGGCCTTTTGAAAGGACTTCCCCAGAGGCAGAGCCAACCTGGCCGGAGCCTGAGTCTGCAGCAGCCAAGGGGCCCCCTGGGAGGGGCATATACAAGCCAGTCAGTCCCTGGACGCAGATCCAGAGACAGACAAGGGGATCCGGGTCATGTGCAGAGGCCGGAGCTGGAGGGAGCCTCCCACAGTTCCATGCTCTTTCCCCCAAGTCTGCCCTCATGCTCCAGCCCTTCCTGCCATTCCCTGACACTCCGCTTCTGCACTTTAAACGTTGCTTCTAGGCCTGACCGACCATGGAAGTAATAGAAACCTCTGCTCCACCCCCTCGCCCGCCCTTCTATCCTGGAGTCAACCCTAGTTCCCTTCACAAAGCTTCCCTCACTTGGTGGCTTGTGGTTTCCTGCATCCTAATCTCTGGTTTGGAGTAGGACTGGGAATGGTGTCAATCTTGGCTCTCTCCATCCCCGGGGTGGTTCCTTTACATAGTTTAATTTTGTAAGCCAGGCTGGGGACTAGGGGGTGGCGGCAGGGGGGCGGTAGTAACTGATAAACAATTTTAAAAGACCAATGCACATGTATGTGTCCTGGTATATGGCAGCAGATGGTTTGTAGGTGGTTATATTTTGCTGCTTTCGCTGTAGGTTTAGATTTGGGCTGTGAAGTAGTGTGATCTGACCCCTTGGTGGCTTGTGGGCACCATTGGAAAACAACAGGAATCTTGGTTTATTTTCTAGCCAGTGCCCCTTCCTTCCTGTTTGTGTGGTGATAATCCTAAGGAATGGGCACCTGCCCTCCTGGCAACGTCTTGGAAGTGGTGCCTAGTGTTTTGTTTCCTGCCTCCTAGCAGACCTCTGCCTCCTAGCTATTGCGTTTAAGTAAACAGGCCACTTGCCTCTCCCGCTGGCAGCCTGATGGATGGATGCCTACGCCTAGATCTTGTCAAATCATTTTGTGGTTGAGTGTCTGCCAGACCTAGAGGTGGCGAAATGAGCCAAGCCGGGATTATGCTGTCGTAGAAGCCTGGACTGAAGGGCACAGGCAGAGTTGGAGACCCGGGGTTTGACTGTAAGGGCTCCATGGATGCAGTTCTCCAAACACCTGTTTCCCCGCAGCATCCTGCCCTTGGACTGGGTGGGGGTGGGAGCTGGTGTTCCCTCCATGTAACAGATGGTCTCTGCGCTGGGGAGGAGGCAGTGGGTTATAAAAGCAGGTTGGATGGAACCGTTTTACCTGAAGGAGGTGTTACTCTCTAAATAACCATGAGTGGGCTTATGAGAATTAGTCATAATTGAGGTTTTTTTTTTCCTCTTGAGATAGCTTGCAGTCATGTTATCTTATGGCCAGGGTGTCTTGACTATGACACCCCCTGAACATGGCTAATTATATAGAGTACCAAAAGGTATAGCAACTTCGCGCACACACTCAAGTTTGACTGTTAAAAATAACCCAGCAGAGCGCCTGTGAGAACACATGACTCTCCTCATCAAAGTTGTTAGGGAGAGGTTTCTAAGTTACCAAACTTCCTGACAGTCAAACCTTCCCCAGGCATGTGTGGGTGTTGGAAGCCAAGCCTGTGATAATTCTGTAGAAGCTGTGGCAAATTAATAGCCGAGCCCAAGTGAGGAGCTTACCTTCGTCGGCTCAGCTGGATAGCTACAGCTTCCTCCTGCCACTCTGAGCAAGAAACTCATAGGGAAAAATGTTCTTCATAGTTGATCAGAAAATAAATGAAATGGACAAGGAGATGGGGATGTATTTCTAATGCCAAAACTTTTTGCTCAGGCAGAAGTCTCTGGACTGCCTGCTGCCAGATTGGGCATGGAGGATGGAGAAGGGGACCGGAGGAAGGTTTGGGTTGTGAATAGAATGGGACAACCACAGAGCCGTTTAAACTGTGAAAGGGGGCTGAGAGGATGGCTCAGTGGTTAAAGCACCTCCCCGAGGACCAGAATTTGGATCTCCCCATGTACATGCCTGATGGGTGTGGCAGCTCACTTATAATCCCAGCCCTGGAAGGCTGAGACAGGGTCCCCGGAGCAATCTAGCAAGCCTGACCATATGGGTGAGCTTTGGGTTTGACTGAGAGATCCCTCCTCAGTGAACAAGGTATAAGAGCAATGGAGGATGCTTTTCACTGACGTCAACCCTGGGCCTCCATGAATGCATGTGTACCCTCAGACACATGTGTGCACAGATATGCAACACACACATACACATATGGCAAATGGAAAAAGACAATTAAAATATGAAAGGGAAGGGAACCTAGCCTGAGATTCTGAACAGCAGGCTGCCAGGAATATTTAGAGGTAGCATGTTTTTGGTTCTGTGTGGTCTGGTAGAGAACTGGCATAGAGCAGCCAGGGTCACATCGTAGCCCCAGGACTTGGCACAGTACTGTTGAGGACCGGTTATGGGAGGAGCTTGGAGGAAGTAAGTCTGAGCTAAGGGAAAGGGTGCCGTCGGAGGGAAACGATCGACTCAGGAAATGTTTTCTAGTTTTGAGGCAGCTGCAGAGGAGGAGTGGAGAGGGTAGGTTTGGGGGCTGGGGTCTCCCACTGGTTAGCACTGAGTAGGGGAGCAGCCATTACCAATAATACCATCGGGGTATGCGCTCAAGCCGCATGTGAAGCCACGTGTCCAAGGGTAGTTGTGAATGTGGCCCGATAATGTCATATTGCAGCCTCAAAAGTTGAACATTCCTGTCGAAGAGAAACAGGGACAGCTTCTCTCTAGAGTAACAGAAAGAAGCACAAGACAGGCCTACAGCCAAAGCAAAGCCACACCCGTCCATCTGGTGCTGCCCTGCGCAGGACTGTCCTGCGGAGGCAGAGCTGCCTGGTGGCCACAGGCTGAGAAGTCAAAATAGACGCGCACTGGGTCTTCATGTGGAAGCTAGCCAACCCCTTGTCCAGAGTCTGAGCGTCCCCTGTGAGCTCGAGCAAGTGATCAGGGCAGCCCCTGTCCTCCCGGCCACCCAGCCAAGCTGGGGAGCCATGTTCCACGTGACGTGGGTGGAACACAAGTGAGGAAGGCAAGGTGAGGAAGAAAACAAAGTAAAGGCTAACTATGGACTGAGAGGGAGGGAGAGGTGAGGGAGGCCTGCAGCAGAGGGAGACTGGGGATTCCAGAGGGTGTCCTGTCCACTGGGGATGTCAGGGCAGACAGCGTCCCTGGTAGAGAGAAGTGATTTGCTGTTGAGTGTCCTAACAGGGTTCCCTTCCCTCTCTGAGCAAAGGCAGCCGCCCCTAACATCCAGCCTCTGCATCTGAGGTCTGTGCCGGCCACTCCCTAAGGGAGCTTCCCGCCCTGAGAGCCAGCCAGGACTTGGAAGCTTGGTACACTCTGGTTGCTCTAGGAAGTCACCAGGGCCCTTTTGTCCCCCCCCCCCCGGGCACTTTGCTGCATTGGGGCCCAGTTAAACTTCACCGGAACACAGCGCCCCTCACTGAGTGTGTTGTCACGCTGGGCTTGTGCCTGCACCACAGACAGAACTCAGTCGTTGCAAACATTTATGGAAAAAGTCGTCTGACCCGGACTCTGGTTCGTCACGTGGCTTCTCTCGGGGCGGTCTTTCTGCTCACTGGCCCTTCTCCATGAGAGTGAGAATTAGCCCCTTGCCTCAGTCATTCTGGGTCATGTCTTCTTTTCTTATCACTCCTTGAAAATATCTACAGACTGTGGATTTCACCCATTGCTCTCCTCACTTTAATAATTTACGTTCCAAGGATTTTGGTTCGCTGATCTGTTCCAAGAACCTGTAATGAATGAGTGAGTCACAGCTGCTCCCCGTCTTCAGATGTCAGAAACCCAGAAAATGGTCCCATGCTCTGGCCCATTGATGCTTACCCCCCACCCCCTGCGCCCCCAACCCCAGTGGGCAGTGAATGGCAGAAGATCGAGTCTCAGTGTCTCGGGAGCTTAACCCATGGCTTTCTCTGTTTCCTCCCGCTTCCTTAGGGGTCCTGAGAAGCAATGGCCACAGAAGCCCCTGTGAACCTAGCACCACCTGAACGCAGCACCGTGGTCGGTACCTCAGCTGACAGCTTCACCTGGCAGCCCAGCCCCCTCAGGATGCACGTCATCAGGCCCAAGTCCGCCAAGGGCCGGAAGCGGCCGAACCTGCACAGACCTCAAGGCGTGGGTGACGGTTCTCCCAGTGTGCTGTCCGCTTCGCCTCCACCACGCTCCTCCGGGTCCTCGGGCAGCCAGAAAGCAGGAGCCTGCGCACCCGTCTCTCCGTCTCCGGGGGCCCCTGATGAGACGCCCGAGCTGCTGCCACAGGTGCTCGTGGGAGCCACCTCCTCCCTCAACAAGTACCCGGTCCTCCCTTCCATCAATAGGAGGAGCCTGGAAGATGGGGCTGTGGACACGGTGGCCAGGAAGGCCAGTTCTCTGCAGCTGAGCAGTGTGCAGGCCCTTTACCAGGAGGAGGCCTGCGCCGCTGTAAAGACAAGCCAAGAGGATTCCCGAGCCCAGGTCTGCGCCTTAGAGAAGAAGTTCATCCTCCGAACCAAGAGACAGAGTTCCTCGGGGTCCTCCAACATGGAGGAGCCGACAGACCAAGAGCCGAGGCTGCTGCTGGCCATCAGGTCACCCTCAGGCCAAAGGTTCGTGCGCTACTTCAGGCCCAGTGACAACCTACAGACGGTCCTCGCCGTGGCCGAGCAGAAAAACAAAGCCACCTACCAACACTGCAGCATTGAAACGATGGAGGTGCCCAGGAGACGTTTCTCCGACCTCACCAAGTCCCTGCAGGAGTGCGGCATCCTCCATAAGTCCGTGCTGGGCATCTCCCAGGAGGAGGGGGAGGGGTGACCCTGAGCCCACAGCACCAGGCTGGGGCCCCAGGTCTTTGAGCAAAGAGAAGG